TCATCAGCAAACTTGCTGAGGGAGCACTCTGTGCCTTCATCCAGGCCATTGATGAACAAATTGAACAGGACTGGACCGAGGACTGACCTCTGGGGGCACCACTAGCTACAGGCCTCCAACTAGACTGCACCGCTGATCACCACCCTCTGAGCTCTGCCATCCAGCCAGTTCCTAATCCACCTCACTGTGCACTCATCTATCCCACACTTCCGGAGCTTGCCCAGGAGGATGTTGTGAGGGACGGTGTCAAAAGCCTTGGTGAAGTCGAGATAGACGACATCCACCGCTCTCCCCTCATCTACTCAGCTGGTCATTCCATCATAGAAGGCTATCAGGTTAGCCAAGCAAGATTTCCCCTTGGTGAATCCATGCTGACTACTCTTGAGCACCTTTTGTCCTCCTCGTTATACCTGGTAAGGTATAACCTAAGAGCTTGCAGGGGAGGGTAGGGAAGGAAAAAAAAAAAAGGACACTCACGTGCTCATTGCACAGGCTCTCCAATTTCTGTTGAAGCTGAGAATAGTTGTCATCTCCTCTTTAGTCAATTCAAAATCAAACACCTAACAGGAGAAACAGCTAGAAGTCATCTCTTGGAGCAAACCAAAGACTGAGATTCACAAGGTTCAAGAGCAAGTCCACACTGGAGGGCTGCTGGTTAGAAGAAGGGATTGCTTCATGCAAGAGGGAAAGGTAGAAGCCCACAGACATTTCCAAGACTTCACTGGCAGTGGAAGGAAAATACAGCCCCACCCTTCACAAAACCTGCCTGCTTGTTGCAAGAAACCAAGTGAACAGTTAGCGTTGCAGCATGCTTATATCTGTAGAGGTTGCATCTGTCCTATTCCAAAGTCAGTCAGGGATGGCTGAATTCACAGAGGAACAACTTTGTGCATGCACACCAGGACTATTTTCTTAACGTTGCTTTGTATGACTTTAAGTGTATTATTGCACTTGCACTTCAAGTGAGTCCTGCCTGCTAGTTCATGCACAAACACCAGAAGAGAAAGCACCAAAGGAGGTGACTGTTCAGGTTATCAGTGCACCATTTCCAAGGGCTCTGTTCACTTCTGCTCTGTGAAATGCAGCAGCTAGTTCAGCCCCCAGTGGACCAGATGTAAACACACAGAGAGAAAAAGCCTAGTCCTCTTGTGTGAGGAGGACTTGGGAAGGATAAGAAAGGATCACTACTTCTTCTGGCAGGGGGAAGGACTGCCATCCTTAAGGGCAACACTCAGCTTGCCTGTAATCACTCACCTTGGAGTTCTCCACAATACGCTGGGGTGTGACAGACTTGGGAATCACAACCACATTTCTCTGGATGTGGAAGCGAATGAGAACCTGCAAGAGAATATCAATACATCAGAGACAAGATGACTCTTGGTCTGTAATAGGCAGAGTGTGTCACAAAAGCAGATGCACTAATGTGCATGATTCAGCAGAAATAACCCATTTCTACATATCAAATCATTCATGTAACCAAAGCATAGGTAGTGCTTTCTGAAGGGCAATCAGAGAAGTGCAGCCCACAGGAAGACTTCCTTTCTCCTTTCCCATCCACTTTTTGGGACAATTAACTCCTTCCCTTCATATTGATACTTGAAGCAGTCTCTGCAAGGGTTTCATTCTCTGCAACAGCACTTGGGATAGGAAAACAACACATGAAAATGGATTGAGAATCTGCTGCTTTTTGAGTGTCAGAGTCCCTACAAGGACACACTGCAGGTCACAAAGAACACGCCAGCATTGCTACTGCACACCAACGAGGAGGGCCACAGTGCTCAGAGAATGAAGATGCAGTCTGTACCCACAGCCTGAGCTTCCACACAGCTATGTTCCAGGAACCAGTATCCTATCCACTGCTCCATCTCTGCTTACTTGTGCTGGGGTTTTGTTGTGCTTGGCCGCGATCTCTTTAATCTTGGGTTCATCCAGAAGGGAAGGATCCTCTGGCTTAGCCCTGTGGAGAACAGAAGGCCAGTGGTGAGGAACTTCTACAGTAAGGTATGGATGACATTCGATCTGCCAACAAGAGAGCACAGAGACTGAGAGCTGCTGTAAATCCAGGGATCCTTTAAGCCAATCCCAAGCAGATTTTTGTCCCAACTTTTGTTTCTACATGATATTATGCAGTCTTTCTTCTGTATTTCCCCTGCAGTATAGGGTACCTTGCAAGTAAAGTGGTCCAAGGACTGAAACACCACTCCTTACAATACCCAATTTGCATTGTCACCAACACATGAAACCATCATCTACAGAACTACCCAAGTGGGACAGCACAACAGATGTGCATATCCAGGGCAACTGTGTGGAATTATAACAATAAAATAGCAGAGCAATACAGGTACAAGGTTCTCTTTTCTTCCATGTTAAAAACACACTATAATATTTTTTACAAGCAGCACAACTTTAACAGAAGCATTGTTACATCCCCTTTTATCTGCTTCATATGAGCAAGTTGGATACTTCCAATCTGTAAATATGAGAAAGACTACTAGTTAGTATGAATTTTAGATCTTCAGATTACTGCCCATTA